GGCTGTAGAGAAAATGTTTGGTTCACTTATAAAATCGCTTGTTTCCTGCTTTTATTATAGACAGCTAAGTTAAAGTCATTATAGGCAGCTCACCGGGTGTCACTGCATAGCAGCTAAATAGGGAAAAATTTAAAAACCATGCCAAACAATGGGCAAGATGAACGTGAGACAGGACGGAGGATAAGCGACACAATTTTTGTGTTGCACACGCTGCACTGCTCATCTTAACCCTGCCCGTGCAATAGTTTGGGTACATTTCCAGGCTGGACCCTGGAAAAGTCAGCGCAGAAGACGGCTGGCTGGAGGCGCACGCGCTGAAGGCGGGGCTTCCAGAAAAGAGGACCGACACCCCCCACACACACACACACATACTTCCTCCTGGGTGAGCAGCAGCGACTGATATTGTAAGTGGGCATTAATCTCTCGGCTGGAGGACCGAAACCCCTTACCCACCGCTTCCAAGAAAGACCTTGCGCACCCCAAGCGAGCTTGGGGCATGACTCACTATCCCATTTGACCCTCACTTAATCAATATTACCCGAGGAAAATACGTAGCGTCACCTTATTGGTTAATCCTACTTCTGTCCCGCCTCCCACCCAGCCTGCGATGTTTCCATTGGGTCGATATTATCTAAGCCACTAGACTTGTAATTTTACTGGTTGATTACAGGAACCTGCCTCTCCTCGGGGCTGTGCTGGCTAAACCCCCTTGAGAAGCAGGGTTGGTGGGCAGCTCGCTTCCGGACCCCCTTCTGTCCCTCTTAGCTTTCTTTCTCTCAATAAATCCTTCCTACTCTTCACCTCCATTGTTCCTACAATTCATTCCTCAGTTCTAGAGAACGTGAACCCGGCGTTTCCGACACCTAGCACACTGGGAGTTATAGTTCTCTTGTACTACCTGGAAGTCTTCTGTCCTCCGTCCTGTCTCACGTTCATCTTGCGCATTGTTTGGCATGGTTTTTAAATTTTTCCCGGGTTGGCCAAATAGCTCAGCGGATTAAAGCACCTGCAAGCTAGGTGCACGGACCCGGGGTTTGGTCTGGGCCTGCCGAGCCGGCTCTGCCTCCAGGGCGCACTGAGACAGCAATTGAGACTGGGTGCGGTGGCGGTGGCGTGTGCCTGTAATCCCAGCTCTTGGGAGGCTGTAAACAGGCGGATCACTGCGAGTTCAATCTAGTAGTGAGACCCTGAAC